CATGCTCCGCCTGAGCCCCGCGCAGGGTCGGGTTGCGCCGAGCCAAAGGTCAGAGGAACCTCCAGCCTGCATTTTGCCATTGCTTGATTATTCACATAACAAACAACCTGAAGACTGGGGGGGCTTCTGTGTGCCCACAGACAGGGCCCGATCGCTGTAACGAAAGGAAAGGCCGTTTCTAACTCTCTCCTGGCTCCCCGCTATCCCRAATCTCCCAAAAATAATTAAGCGAGCAGATGGTGTTTGTGGAGCTGGTGCTTGGCCACAGACTCCTCGCTCTGCCACGTCCTGCTTTTAATATACTGCACAGCATTAATCAAGCAGTTTAGAAGCATCCTGTATCAGTTGTGCAAAACAGGGCTTAAATGATTTACTGTCGGATTCTTTCAGCTCCTGTTAGGCTCCTGTTTTTCTTTCATGTGGGGAGCAGGGGTCAGCGGCGGCAGGAGATCCGTGCTTTCACTTGGCCAACATTTGCTGCTGTCATTCCGAGCCCGCTCCCGTCCCGCCGAGCGACGGATGTGTTCATGCTCCCAGCCCTGGATGCTAATTGATTTTAGGGAGCCCATTCATCAGTTAAATTTAGTAGATCACCCACCAGGTTTGCTGCTCACTGTCAAAGGTAATTCAATTAAAACTCCACAAGTGTGACTAACCAGTGGATGGTAAATATGTTCACCAGCTGTGTTTGCTGGGCTTTCTCCATGCTATTGTGTCTGTGCCTGGTGGAGGATGTGCCCGAGCCCTATACCTTGGCTGATTAATGTATACAACAGTTCTGCAGCACTGCCAAAAAATTAAGCCCAAATGTCACCTTTGGGATGTGAATGTCTGAGCATAAGAGCTTCAGAGAAGAGAAATCCTCAGGTGTGTTAAAGGCAGCAGTGCTACAGTGGTTGAATTAACTCAGGTCTTGGGGTTTTTAAAATAACCTYCCAAAAAATCCGATTTGGATTTTTGGTATTGAAAATAACCTTCCAAAGGCTCCAATTTGGATTTTAAGATCCACTGACAATTTGGTTTCTCTTCATTCACTCCCAGTTTGCCCTCAGCTATCGGTTCAGAGTTGATGTGAAACTATCCAATGTGGTTTTATCCATCACTCAAGCCGTGTATAAATCAGGGAGATGTCGCAGGAACTCATAGAAAGATGATTCTATTAAACCCTGAGGTGAAGGAGCCTTGCTAGACCCTCCTGCCTGCTGCCATCGGGCACTCAGATGTGGTTTGGTAGTAATTAAGCGCATGGTTAACGATCCCGTTGCACACCACGGGACAAAATGGTGTGTCTGCTTAATAGATTAAAGGAAAACATTCTCTGAAAAGCACAGGTAAACAAGACACTCATCCCTCAACCTTTCACCCTGGAAGACCAAGGTTCACATCCCACTGGAGCACAAATAAATAGGGACTGGACTCCCCTGGGGGGGAATTATAGTCACARTGAGACTATTTTGGAGCACGACAAGAGTTGGTGGGGATGGGAGAGGATGGGTGGGATGCCGGCTTGGAAGGGGCTGGAGACAGAGAAATTCCTTAAATCCCYGCCCATGCAAAAAGCAGCATGGATTTACTTGCAGTCAATTGCATACTTACAGGGACTGCCTAAAGTTTTTCTTAAAAAATTAACTAGGCAGCAACATGGAGTTTCCAGGAGCTTCCACTGCGCAGGTCCCATTCCAGCAGCCCCTTCTGCAAGAGTCAAAGCCCACACARCACTGAGATTTCCTGATTTCCCTCTGGCTGTAGGAAATTAATGAGCTGGAGCGACTCTGCAAACCACCGGCCTTCCTGCACATCCCTGTAGTGCAGGAGGAGGGAAACCTGTGTGGTAAAGAGAATCCTGAGAAAACAGGCAGATTTCCCAAGCATCCCTATAAACATTAATGAAGAGCTTGGGAATATCTGGTCTATTTATTACTCTAACCACAAGCTAAAYGAAAGTGCAAAACTTCAGCAATAGCGTTAAATTTGGAAGAGAACCTGGGTCGTTCCATATTTTCTGCTTTAAACTCAGCACACACCACACAACTCGGGGTTTGGTGAGTATTAACCTTTGCATTTCTAAAATATTTGGATGAAAAAACAGTGCTATTGTTAAATGTAATAATTACCACCAATAAATTAGTGGTAATCTTTACACATAAAATTACTSTTTTGCCATTTTTACATATAAAATTACTCTGCAGAAAAAGTTGTAATTCTACATTTTACATGGAAACATGAASATTTTAGGCAGTGGTCAAATACTTACCAGCAAGGTAACTGGATAGGGAATGGCTTTGATATCCAGCTRCTGCCAGGAATCCTGTTTTTGTTGGTGCTGTTGAGTCTCTCCCTTCTTCTGGCATTAATAAATAAAGGCACCTGCTCTACAAATCAGCAGAAATCTGGAAAATCATTATCACTCCAACACGGAAACGATGCCCATCACGACAGAACAAATGGGGAACGGAGCCTACACAGGACTTTAAAAAAGGGCTCTATTTGTCAAATTACCAGAGGAAAAGTTGATCTTACTGTTATGGACTTTATCCACTTCCAGGTCACATCAATTAGTCACAGCAGGCTCGTGGAGACTGGAACTAATTTACAACACTCTGAGCGGGCCCGCCTGCTTCTCCTATGGATTTCCAGGCAAATATTGGGACTTCAGATGGAACCTGGAACTGAAAAACCACCAGCAACAGAAATTGAGCTTAATGGTTCCAGGACTGACCTGTTTCGCAGCAAAAGAAACAAAGCCCTGATTGTGATAAGAATAAAGAGAAATATCTCCTGTAGAGATTGCAGGGTTATGTTTATCTAATCTTTGAAAAAATAAAGGAGTCATAAAAGCTTTAATAAAAAATACTGAGCRTCTTTAAAGGAAGTTTTAAAATGTTTTCCTATCCCTGACAGCTCATTTTGACAGAAATTGATTGTGATAAAGAATTATGAATCAGATAGCAGGGAAATTAAATTAAGCTGATTATTATCTTGTCAGATACACACATTATGTCATGTTCATTGCTTTAGACTTTTGCAAAAAGATTGTTTCACTCAGGTTTAATAAATTCAGAACATCCTAAGCAACACACACAGGCATGACTGTAAAGCATCTTTTTTTATAGACGTTCAGATTTTGTTTCGATTACTTAGATATTTATATTAATTATTTCTACTTTTGGTTTATTATTATAATTAGCATATTTATCTGTATAATTTTGATTATTGGATTATTAAATACACATATTTAGATTAGAAATATGCAATATGAAATATTTTATTCTCTTTCTAGGCAAGGGCTGAGAGCAGCCTCTGTGCTTTGAATCTGGATCTGGCAGCTCCACACAGCGACCAGCGCCGCTGGAAGACCTTGGAAAGCTTTCCCAAAACCTGGATCCTGCAGCCTTTTGATTTTGTGTTTTGAGCCACGTCATGCAGCTGATACAACCCAAGTTCCTTTAATAAAGAGCAGTAAAAGGAAGCAGGAGCCTGGGAGACTCTCTCAGTGCATCTTCTTCCCAGTGAAAGCGGCTCCACTGGCACGTGAAATTAGTTACAGATTGTTCACATCGGGCCTTTCCCTCCTGGAATGGTAATGAAGGGAGCTGCTTCCGAAACAAGCAAGGCCACTGACCCTTCTCGGGGTTCCTTTGGAAAAATATTGTTTGAAAAAAGAAAGTTGGGAGCCAAGTGCTGCCRTGAGCTCCAAGCAGCCCGAGCAAGAGGTGAAGCCAGCACTGCAGTGAACTGCAGAGAGAATCTTGAAATTAAAGTCAAGCCTTCATCAAATCAAAGCTCATCAATCCTCTAACAAAAAAATAAAATTTACCTCTAAAATCAATTTCCATCAGTATACACCAAGCGTTTCCCTATGTATAAAACAAAAGAATTATCATAGGACAAAGACAGAAAAACAACAGATAACAACCCTCAAGATTATTTAAAAATTAAAAGTAAACTCAAGTTTTAAGCACAAGGTCACTCACTACCACACTCCCAACAGATCTCAGAGACCTAAATTACCACTGAAAGCAGTAAAGGACTTGGAAGAGGATTCAGTGCMGACTGACCCCATTCAGCTGATGGCCCTGTGGATGTGCTGCTGGGCTGGATTTTGGGATCGAAGGCCCAGCACAGGCATGTCCTAYTGCAAGTGGATACTGCCCAAATAAAGGTTCCTCGGGAGAGACTGTTCCCTAAACCAGCCAGCTTGCCTTTAACTATTCCAAGCAGTCATTGCTGCAGGATCCACARAAGCAAAGCCTGAAGTGCCCTCTGCTGGTTCCCAAACAACTGAAAAAAAAAAACCGTAGACTTGAAGATTTTTRGGTCTGGTAAAGACAAACCCAATTCCAGACTCTAACCCACATCACCAGTTTTCCAGCGATCCTTTGTTCTGTGTGTAGATTGAAAACCCTCTGAGATGTTTAACCACAGGGCTCACTCCATATCGGAATAAACATTGAGAATCACCTCATATTAGAGTTTGTGTTGCTATACTTAAATATTAACTACTCCCCAATTATCCCAAATTTCTCTCAGTAGTACCCACTTCATTTTCTTCTTGTATTCTCTCCATAAAGATTTAATTTTCTGGATGTCTTCCTATAGGAAAGATAACACATTTTGTCCATCTATGCACTGAGACCTGTAGCAGCCACACAACCTGGACACACACCCAAAATAAGTTGTCTGTACAATTTTATTTACCACCTGCAGTTACATTTACAAACTGTCCCATACAAGTAAAGCAGTTTTCAAAGTGAACTCAACCAGAGCTACAAAAATTATTGTTTTCTATACACATCACCAGCTTCAGAATTTATGTCTATACACAACTGCTGATTATGTTTAACAAAAATTCACTATTTTTTTGGCTCTGAGGATCTCCACAAAGGCAACTTGATAGTTTTATCCCATTGCAATCATGACATGAAAGTTCTTGTTCTTGTTTTCCTTCTCCCTCCTTTCATCTGAAGCTTTGCATGGCTTTGTTTTGGAATTCTAACGAAGACAGAGCTACCACAAACCAGCAGTTTTAGTAACAGAAGATAAAAATGCTGAGCAAAACCATCCAGCAACATTTCAAGCAATGTTTCTCTTTAGATGTGCCTGCTCATCAGCAGAAATATTGAAATTTTAGCTGGCAATAAGGTTCCAGAGTAGCACAAACAAGTGATTGAACATGAAATGAACTTTACAAACTCAGTCAACTTACAGAGACAAAACAAGGTCGGAGTGAGGAGCCAGAGCTACTCAGGGAAATGTTTTGAGGAGCCTGAAGGGAGGAAGGATAAAACTCAAATATTGCTTTAAGAGTAATTTTCAGCTTTAAGCATTTCCAAATGACACAAGAAAAATGTATATATTTAAAATATAACTTAAACCTTTCTGGATGMAGCTCCCAGCCACGAGTGAAAGCATTTCCCCAGGAGAGGGCAGGAGTTCTGTACGCAGGAGCTGCCAGCCCCAAATCCTGGCAYGGCTGGAATACACACTAACTCCTGGAGTGAAGTCAACTGGGCAAAGRTTCCCTGTCTCAAACACCTATTTCTTTCTAAGCCTCTTTGCATCACAGTCCCAAACATAACCTTAATTATGTTGGTCCAACCTTTACATTTTTTAATTCCTTTAAAGAAACAACACTGGAAATCTATGCTGGTCCTGGAGTTCACCAGCTTGGGCTTAGCTCAAAACTCCCCCACAATCAATAAAATAACAAAGGTACTTTAACTTTTCTGTTGCAGCAATCTCAGTCCCACTCTTTATTTTTAAATCCCTCCAAGGCTCACAGCAAGGCAACAGACTGGGAAAATCAACCATGTGGGATCTCAGAATTGCTGTCTGACCCTCAACTAATTCCAGGATGGCCAAAACCAGTTTAACAGCAGCATCATTTCTAACATTAAAAGAAGTCAGCCACAGTAGCTGGAGCTKTCTGCTCAAACACTGAAATCTCAGCATTCTATGCACAGCTCCAAGTAAACTCTGGTGTGGAGCGACCCCACAGCCAGAAGCTTCCAGCACTCTCATGATATGAAATAACTGAATATTAAAAAAATGAAGGARGTCCAGCAAGGCCAAGGCACACACACAGTCACCCCAGCTGGGTAAGTGGGTTGCATAGATACACCATGATCTTGGTTACACTGTTCAGAAGCAGCCAGAGAAGAAAATGCAGGAAAGAGTCCYTTTCCTAGGATGTTTGATTCATAATTTGAAGGATTGTAGCCAGACTACAGMTGTCASTATGTGGTTTTTAAACACCTTCYAACTTCTCCAGTTTACAGGAKGAACACTCAAARTGTTGTCTTTAACCTCACTTTCTTMCRAGTGAAAAGATCTCATTTTAAACTCGTGGTCTTAGTTCARCTGCCAGAGTGAGAGACAATCCCACATTTTAGGTTGTTTTGTCTATCTAACTTTGCTTATCTTATTTTCACAGTAACCTTCATTACTTCAATACATAAACATCCTCATCAACCCTTGAGTGAGGTGGGTAACACATTCAAAATAAAGGCTGAAACTGCTCTGAAATGTTTCATTTTTGCACATTTTCACTGAAAAAATCCTGCTTGAATAGAAAAAGTGAGGTTTGGGTTTTTTTTTTTTTTTTCCTTAAGCAATTCCCTAACACCAGAAAAACCAGAAAAACCACGAGGCCCTGAACACCAGGCAATTAAAAACCAATTCCAAGCCTGGTGCACCACACCTTCCCTCACCCCTACAAAGACAAAACATACAAATGAGCCCAAAAAAAMCAGGGAGAGAAGTTGAACATCACTGTTTATCACAACACATCACAAGTGATCTCAGCTACAAATTTCTACAACCATTTTTTGCTTTACAACTGCAACAAGAGTTTGAAGCTACTGAGAGCAGCCAGACTCTCTTACTAGGAAGAAATATAAAGGGATTGCTAAAATTAACTCCTCCATACAACTGGAATATTACAAATCAGGGGATTTTATCTGCAGAGAGCAACAGRCCTGGCAAAGAGTCAAAAAATATATTTTATTCTTCCTGTGCTGAAGTGATGCCATCATATAAGACCCCACTTACATGAAATCAGCTTTTGGTAACATATTTTTGAACTAAACTGCTAATTTCAGCACATTTATCCTAACTTTAAAAGACTAAAAAACTCAAAGTCCACTTATTTGTTTCAACAAGTGCATTTTGCAGGAGGTCCACGCTGTCCATCCCTGCATTCCAGGAGTTTGGCTCTGTAAGAAAATCATCTACAGCAATCATCTGAACTGATACATCAGTTCTCCAACCATGAACAGTCCTCATAATTTAAAAAAAAACCACTTCATAATTTAAAATATATCTCACTGGCACTCTGCTTTGCTTGGAACTAGAATGTACCACCATTAGTAGCTGACTTAGAACATCAACTTGAATTTGTGAAAAAAGCTTGCAAAAAATAGATCAACTTCCAAATGTACASAAAAGGACATTAGAGCTGATATTTTTGGGTCACTTAATGTATTTTAGAAAGAGTAGCAAGCTGGGAGTGAAGTACCCTATATTACAAATATTCAAACACCTAAGCTGGACTGTTTTACACCTCAAGTGTAGTGCAGGGTTAGTTCCGACAGGGAATTTGGAAACAGGTCCAAAAAACTCCAGCTTGGTTCAGTTAGACTTGATCACGTAGGCGGGCCAGTCTCTGTGACAGCTCATCCTGCACAGTTAGAAAACACAAAGGGAAAAGCAACTATCAGGAACAGGAAAAGCAACTTTTGCCATCTCATGTCCAGCTCACATCAAATTCTCTCCTGGCTTAAMAAGATTTGCTTAAGACCTCAAGGATGGCTGTGAGGGAGGAGTTTCAGAACACAGAATTAAACAGAAAAGGGGTGGAGTTTTTGTGGGTTTTTTCAAAGAACGTCCGATATCTGACAAGACAAGAGAATGGCTGTAAGGGCACATTTTGATATTTTAGAGCAATTCTTCCCTGTGAGGTGGGGGAGGCCCTGGCACAGGCTCCCCAGAGAAGCTGTGGCTGCCCCTGGATCCCTGGAAGTGCCCAAGACCAGGTTGGACAGGGCTTGGAGCAGCCTGGGATAGGGGAAGGTGCACCCAYGGCAGGGGGTAGCACTGGATGGGCGTTAAGATCCCTTCCCTYTAACATTTAACAAATGTGTTGTTTAAATTACTTTGATAGCAAGGCTGTTTTAACCACAGTTTCCTTGGGAYAGCTGGATAGAATTCAGCAATTTAYCACTTTGTTTTGACTGMRCATTAATTCTCTCATCCCATTTCTCCAGAAAACACTGACCTCACTGAAATCCAACATTTACCTGTTCTGCTGAGGCAACGCTTGTACCAACAGAACCTGTCTGTCCTTGAGGTAGTTCCATGTTCAGATCAAGGCTAACAGGAAGAAACAGAGCAAAAACCAAAGTCAGGAATATGTGGATAAAGGGGGAAGCACAATAATTGACAGCAGAAGAATAATGAGACAGCACTCCAGAGTTACACAGGCTGGTGAGTAATTTTGAATACCAAGACAAGTCATGTATCTCCAGAGGTAAAAACAAAATGATGTTTCTTCTCTGCTTCCAAGAAACAGACTTATAAAACAAGGGTATCTGACCTTAGATTTAATCAGGAAGGGTTGTGGGAACCAAGCTGTATTCAAGAAAKAAAAATTTCACCTACCCTGCTTCGTCTGCCATTTCCTGCAGGAGCATGTCCACTTGGTTCTAAAGGAAAACAAAATGGATTRGTGCATTTGSAGTTTCTGRCAATCTCTTCTGTTAGATTTTCAGAGAGCAGGAATTATTTTAACAAAACTGATTTAGAGGTAAATGCCTTTGGAAGAATAGTTTTGTACTTAATCACCAGAAGTTATAAACTCAAAAATAAGGAGCAGAGCTGCTCAGCAGTTATAATGACATTAATTGGACTTTGGCTTGTGAAATAATGCTTCTAGAGAATTCAACTTATCTGCAAAAAAAAACCCAAACCTACAGCTGAGAGTTTCAAGTTCTGACAATGAACAGTTCAGACACATCATAATTTACGATGACCTTGTTAAAACATATTTTATTATTCTTACTTGTGGTGTTGTTAACGTCGTAGTGTTGCTCATTGTGTCTTCCATCTGTTGTGTCTGAACATCCAGTGTCTCAAACTGATGCTCAAATTTGTCCATTAGTGCAGATATCTATAAAAAAATCACATCAATAATTTTCAGACAACAGAAAAAATACACCTCAACCAGAAAATTCTTGATTGAATCTCCCTTTTTAAAACTTGTGTCTATTATCCCTTTT